CATGTCTGGCGATAATGTCCAAGTTACGGTTCAAGACTTTGTTCTGATCGGGAGAAACAGACTGTCTTCCAAATTGTCCTGTTTTCTGCTCCTTGCCTGAACTGTGAGCTCTTTTCCCTCTTATTTTTGGATTCCTTCTCCACCGGTTCCTGTCTCTAGGACGGCTTTATCATCTCCTCTTACTGATTTGTCACATGCTGTCACAACTGGACAGGGGACTCGTGCTTGTTAATGTCTCGTCTTCATGTAAATAATATGTATAAACCAATCTGTATTCAGGAAATTTTTTTATGAGCCTGATTTTTCTGATTCTGTGATAATTATGTTTTTGAGTTGCATTTGGAATAGACTGTCTATATTACTGCAGTCTAAGTCAGGGAAAGGAAGATGAACATAAGCCATGTCTCCCTCAAGACTCTCATGCTCTGACTTGTCTGAAATGCTAGGCACTCTTAATTTTCATGATATGAAACGCAGTGTGAATGGTAAGAGACCCAAAGATTCACTGTCATTTTTTAAAAATTAGGGGGTTTTTATCATACATGTTTACTTCCCTGGTGTCTCAGATGGTAACAAATCTGCCTGCAATGCTGGAGACCCAGGTTCGATCCCTGGGTTGGGAAGGTCACCTGGAGAAGGGAATGGCCACCCACTCCAATGGTCTTGCCTGGAGAAATCCCTGGAGAGAGGAGCCTGGTGAGATATAGTCCGTGGGGTCACAAAGAGTCGGACATGACTGAGTGACTAACACTATCATACATAGCTATGTCACCAAACCTGAGCCATGGAATCCACATCTGCTTGAATGTGAGCTGACAGGTCTTTTCATATATTTATTCTTGTTCTTCCTGCTTCAACTATATTATATTGAGTTGGCCAAAAACTTTGTTTGGGTTTTTCCATTACATCGTATGGAAAAACCCGAATGAACCTTTTGGCCAACCCTATAAAATATGTCAGGAAAAAAAGTCTAATTATGTTGGTTTTCAAATCAAAACTATTTAGGCTTTGCCATATCTCTAGACTGTTGAGAATATTTTAAGATCATATAAATAATCCCAAGGTTTCCCAGAATAAACACTGGGAACTACTCAGCAAACCCAGCTATTTTAGTTCTCATCCATCCACGCTTCCCTTCGTCTATTTCCAAACCATGCTCTTTTTATTTCCTGTATTATTAAAGATAGCTAGGATTATGCTCGAGTAGGTTCGTGTTGAAAAAAGGCTATGCCTTTTATTTTAAGAAGTTTATGACTTTGTAAGTGAAGAAAATACCGGGATGTGAGAACAACCGTGCTGCTAGCATATCCTAATGCTGGCTACATTGAAGTTGAAGCTAAATCCTCGGCTCAAATCCTGAAGCCCATTAGCGAGCACAAACAAGGGGGGACGTGTATTCAATCCGATGCCAGTCGTCTGTTTACAAAACATACTTACTCCTTAAGACGACTTCCTGGAGCCTTTGCATGGGTGTTGGGTTTCTTAGCCAGTACACACAGCCCCCTTGGAATCTAAAGAGTCCAGGATTATCCAACCAGACAAGCAAAAGGGGACGAGTGAAAACAAAGTAGAAAGAAAGAGGATTTCTACGAGGATCCTCTGGTTATCTCTGTCTCCACTGTCCCTGAAGCACTGCGAGATGGACTCCATTATTTGGAGAGGCCAAAGGTCACATTCTTAGTTTTTAAGGCAATACAAATAACAGCTGGCCACTGAAGACACGTCCTTCCCCCTGATTTCAAAACTGGCTTTTCTTTTCAACATGGCCAGGCTTGGCTTGGATCTAACTCATGTCTCCCGTCTCTCACCAGGTGGAAATCGATTGATGATGCTTAAAACTGGTGATTCAAGGCAGCTATGTGGTTGCATTGTTTAGTGATGATAAGATAACCTGACACAAAGTGTACAAAGTGTATAAAAGAGGTCCCCGGTTCTGAGGAGTAGGGGTGTGAGGGGCAGGACTGATCAAGGAACTCCTACTGCTTTTCTCCGTAAGCCCTGAAGTATCTGCTTTTTGGTTGTTTGTTTTATTATTAAAGACACTGTAGGTGTTACTTCCATTAAAAACAAATCCAGGTTTGGGATTAGCAGATACACACTACTATATCTAAAATAAATAACAAGGTCTTACTGTATAGCACAGGGAACTGTATTCAATATCTTGTGATAACCTACAATGGAAAAGAATAAAAAAAAATTATATATATATATATATATATATAACTGAATCATTTTGCTGTACGTCAGAAGTGAATGTAACATTGTCAACTAACTGTTGTTGTTGTTCAGTCACTAAATCACGTCCAACTTTTTGATACCCCTGTCCAGGCTCCCCTGTCCTTCGCTGTCACCCAGAGTTTGCTCAAATTCATGTTCATTGAGTCAGTGATGCCACCCGACCATCTCATCCTCTGTTGTCCCCTTCTCCTCCTGCCCTCACTCTTTCCCAGCATCAGGGGCTTTTCCAATGAGTCAGTTCTTTGCATCACGTGGCCAAAGTATTGGCGCTTCAGCTTCAGCAGCAGTCCTTCCAATGAACATTGAGGACTGATTTCCTTTTGGATTGAACTATACTTCAATTTAAAAAATCCATTTGAAATAAAGCATTTAGTTTTGTTTCTAAAATAACTTCTGTATATCATTCATTCCATTTTTTAAACATAATATATTTTTTACCCATAATTTAAATGTCCAGATTAAGGTATTTTCCCATTAATAAATATTTAATATCTGGGCCCTAGGGGAGGAAAAAATGGTCAAAAGCACTCTGTTATAATACATTCTGTAGCAAAACAGTAGTTGAATGTAAGAGATAAGGGAGATTGTGATAAGAAACAAGACACTGAGCTTTTTAATTCTTTTTTTTATTACTTCTATAGAAGGACTTCAGAATACAGCTTGATAGAGTTATTGGATCGGATTCCCATCCCCCTACTTTATCGTCTCTTTAAAGCAGGGCAGCATTCTTTGGCTGTACCTAGGTTATCATAAACCTGGCTGAGAGTCTGCACTTTGCAGACAATAGAAGACGTAAACCCTGGCTCTTCCACTCCGCTCTCTCAGTTCACTGCCCCTCCGACCCCTGCCCCCACCAACCTTGTAGCAGATGCATCTCACCAAAGCATCAGCATCTACCTTGCAGGGTTGACAGAAGAATTAAATGGATGATGCATTTAAAGGGGCTGGCACGCAATAAGCATGGAATACTCTTTTATTATTGATAAGAAAAGCAAGTAATTCACTAATGACATTGCACAGCACACAGCAAGTATAGGAAAGTCACTTGGCGGCGCTGCTGTGAGTCAGATCCATGTTTGAGTATTGCCGGGTGTCTTGGAGCCAAGCTCACAGCTGATCACTGCTGAATGGATGTCGTCCCCACAAGTCCCAGGTACGTATCGATAGCTGAAACCAGGAAAGCCAAATAGTTTGTGAAGAATGTTAGCTTTTATCCAAGAAACATCATGAAGGGGTTCTCTCCTGCTTTCTAGTCTTACAGGGCTGATTTCATGTTCTCACAAAACTGGGCATACTTGAGAGTGGTCCAGATAAATGCCCAGTAAATTGTTCAGGAATTATGTCCCTAAGGACACAAAACTTCCCAACATTAGGGCCCAAGGGAAGATCATTTTTGCTCTTGCTGACATTTTTAAAAATTCTAGTTTCTTGGGAAACAGACCCAAGTGCCCTGTGGCCAGATAGTTTCCTACGGACCTCAGCACCTTCTCTTTGAGCCGCCTCATGACTTGGCTGTTCTCTTTCCACTTCGGGCTAAGCCACGTAATGCTTTCAAGTGTATTTTCTGTCCACCTTCAAGGACCTGGGCTCACACACACACACACACACACACTCATGTGCGCGTGCTTGTAACAATAAAGTATACGCGTGTTGGTTCTCAACCCTGAAGTGAGAAGTCTCATCTGGCATTTTCTGATTTTTGCCTTTAGCTTTTCCAGCCATAGATATTTTATATGTTTATTTACTTACTAGAAGAAAACAGAAGCAAATAGAAAAATTCGGGGAATGGACAGTGGGTTTCTGTTTGAGGAAATGGAAACACTACATCCACAATTTCTTAGATCTTCCTTAAGTATGTAAACAGTTATTCCCAGTGAGTTGTTGGTGGAAAGTGAATTGCATCTTTACTTGTTTACATACAGATGGTGGTGCTTTAAGAATCTGAACACCTTGTCAGTAACAGAGATGATAACTTTCACATCTGGAAACAGGAAATACTACTATTATTTCCCCAAAGCTGATTTCAAAGCCACTGTGTTCGGGAAAGATTTCTTGTCTCCAGGCCCCTTTCTCCACTGTGGGGCACCGCTGCACATGTGTGGGTTCCCAGGCTCTCCTTCACCGCTCCACACCAGTCCTCAAGCCTGGATCACACTCATGACCCACCTCCTACTATTCGGAAGTAGAGAGACAATAAAAGAAGCTTTAAGTCCACCCAGAATAAGGCCAGCTGCATCATCTGTGGGGTCTCAATACAAAATGAAAATCTGGGACCTGGGAAGGAAGGGTCTGTCTAAGGTCAACCTTCCCTTCCCTTAGAACCGCCAGCTCCCAGAGGATGACGGAGAGCTCCTCGGCTGTCTTTATCCAAACTGCTCGTGTGGTTCTCTGCAAGGGCCTCTGTCGTGCTGCTGAGAAAACTCAGGGACTCAGAAACACTGTCAAGGGCTGATTCCAGCCCTGCACTGGATTGGGCTTCCCGGGTGTCGCTGGTGGTAAAGAACCCAGCTGCCAATACAGGAGACGTGAAACACGCCGGTTCGATCCCTGGGGTGGTGAGATCCCCGGGAGGAGAGCGTGACTACCCACTGCAGTATCCTTGCCTGGGAAATCCCACGCGCAGAGAGGCCTGCGGGCTACAGTCCACGGGGTCTGAGTCGGACACGACTGAGCGACCTGGCACGCTCGCACTGGACTGGGTTCCAGGCTGCCTCCCCGGCTTCAGGTTTTTTCCGATGCGAAACGGTGCCGCGTTCATACAGGAACCAGTGACACGGCCAAGCTCTACCAGCCTACCTGGGAGCGCGACTGCGCCTGCAGGCTGGCGGAGGCGTGTCCCGAACTCCTGAGCCTGCGCACCCGTGCTTCCCTGCCTTTAAACGCGCGCGAGTTGAAAGGCTGAGGAACACAGGAACCGGGGGGCCCCAGGGGTCCTCCCCGGGAACCGCGCTCAAGACTGATGTTATCGCGAGACTCTCTTCTGATTATGCAGGGCTCAGGGGGCGGAAGAAGAACAGATCCCGGACGTGAAGGGAAGGAAGGGGCGCCAGAAGGCGGATCTACATGGAACTCAAGGAGTAAGGCTGAGCGGAGACGGTAACAGGCAGCACGAGTGGCTGTCAGGGAAGCTGAGGGAGGGGTCAGCTGACCAAGTCTTCAAATGTATGTTGCTGGACGCTCCTGTTGAAGAAGCCATCTGTTTGGGTTGGTTCCTTAGAGGAACTGGGTGGGCCAACATTCTGGAGAGGTCCACAGTCTTTGTAGGAGAATTAAGAAATCAGAATGTCCCAAGGGAAAGTAAAAGGACTTTACTTTGCCAACAAAGATCCATCTAGTCAAGACTATGGTTTTCCCAGTGGTCATGCATGGATGTGAGACTTGGACTATAAAGAAAGCTGGGCGTCAAAGAATTGATGCTCTTGAATTGTGGTGCTGGAGAAGACTCTTGAGAGTCCCGTGGACTGCAAGGAGATCCAACCAGTCCATCCTAAAGGAAATCAGTCCTGAACATTCATTGGAAGGACTGATGCTAAAGCTGAAACTCCAGTACTTTGGCCACCTGGTGGGAAGAACTGACTCATTGGAAAAGCCCCTGATGCTGGGAAAGATTGAAGGCAGGAGGAGAAGGGGACGACAGAGGATGAGATGGTTGGATGGCATCACCGACTCAACGGACATGAGTTTCAGCAGTCTCTGGGAGTTGGTGATGGACAGGGAGGCCTGTCCTGCTGCAGTCCATGGGGTGGCAAAGAGTCAGACATGCCTGAGCGACTGAAATGAACTGAAGGGAGTTAGGATAGAAGCTCTTATTAAGTGTGACTGGCCATCAATGGGAAAACTCAACCCAGCTGACTGAATCACAATTCATTAATATTCTTTCAATTTATCATTTTTGTCTCATTTAGAACTTGAAAAAAAGTGTCATAAATGTTGAGACTGACTTACAGACTGCATTTAAAAGTTTCAAATCTGACATTTCAGCTCCCTTTTCTTTTAGTCTGTAAATACATATTCTATACACGTCACCCGTTATCTATTAAGAAACAGATAAAGAACCATTTCCTGGTAACCATAGACCTCCTCAACAGTCATAGGCATAATCTCAGAAATTTTATCCTTGAAGAAAAACTGTGAAAACCTACAAGTATCTTAAAATTGAGGCTTGAAACAGAATGTGTTTTTGTACCCTTAATTACAGCAGTTTTCTGCCATCCTTGGCTCCTGGGTAAGGTTAGTCTCTATACATATTGTTATGGAAATATTTCTCTCCCTTTGTATCTTATTCTTATTCTTTTTGTTCAGACATCTAAATTTAAGCTAGATTGGGGCAGGAGAGAATTATTATTTTTGACGCATGTTATTTGGGAAAAATGATTCCTTTTTTTCTCCAAGTGTATGTAGGAAGTATATTTATTTTTTAAAAAAAGGTACAATGGCACCCCTAGGCTTAGCAAATAGGAATATTTAAATATTTTAAACATCTATTCATAGTTTATTATTTAAATTATTTCTCTTCTTAGTAACCTAGGGGAATAAGGAGTATTTATTTGCCCAGGAGGAAATATCCACAGGTGATATACATGTTCATATCTGGATTTTAAAATGTTTCTCACAGAGTGACCCTACAACCTTCTGCTACAGCATCATGCTAAGTCACTTCAGTCATGTCCAACTCTGCGAAGCTATGGACTGTAGGCCTCCAGGCTCCTCTGTCCATGGGATTTCCCAGGCAAGAACACTGGAGTGGGTTGCCCTTCCTTCTCCAAAGGCATCTTCCCGACCCAGCGATGAAACCCAGGTCTCTCATGTTTCCTGCATTGGCAGGGGTGTTCACCACTGGTGCCACCTGGGAAGCAGTGTCACCAGGTTGCTTATTTAAAATGCAGATTCTTGGTTTTCAAACAGATTTATGCCATCAGAAGCCCTGCAGTGGGGGCCCTGCTCAGCAACTGTCATTAGTTGAGCATAATTTTAGATTCTGTTTACCTCCTTTTCAGGTAACAATTACTTTGACATAGATTATATCCTTATTGTTAATTCCACATCAGGTATCACAGAAATGTTATCAATTATAAGTAGAGCCATTGACTTTAATTATTGAAGGGAAAAAAGTAACAGGCAACAAGGCTTCACAATGTGAAGAAGCAGGAATAAGAAATGGATTCTCATCTGATTCTTTTGCTTCAGTAACACTGAGTATGAGGAAAACTGAAAAGAGGAAGACCACGTGGTTGGCATTTAGTCAAGACAATAATCTGTCTGCAACACACACGGTGTTTGAGATTCCCATTTGTGGGAAACACAGGTGAAGTTGAATGAATGATAAATTATTTAAGAAGTAATTGGACCACAAGAATCTTCTTCCATTTTGTTTTATCAAATTGGCAATAGCCCTTCCACGTTTGGCGATGTCTGACTTCGGGGAAATGAAATTTGACACAGAGGGAGGGGGACGGGCAGGGTTGAGTTTGCTGGCAGAATAGATAAACCATACTGATTGAGCTATCCCCAAGTCGTCTCCTCAGGGCACGCCTGGAAACCTCCTTCACCACCTTCTGAATTATAAGGCCGTGAAGAACTCCACAATGCTTTTCCAAGAATTCATAGTTCGTTAACTGAGACAAAATGAGAACAGGTTTGTAGGTATGAGGGTGACGCGGGTTCAATCAGTAGATGATGCTTGAGGGCTGGTGAGGGGGTGCTTTGCAGGAACCTGGAAACTTCTACGGCTCAGCTATGTTCCCCAACTTCCAGACTTGACTCCCCTCTTAATATCTGTGTGGTCATGAACACAAAAAAGCATTCCATTTCTTGTTTTTCGCGCCATGATTTTAAGCTACATCAGTGGTTTCCAAATCTGGCTTATCAGAATCACCCAGAGAGCTTTTAGAAATCTTGGACTCTCTGTCTGACCTTTGCCCTTGGCTACTAAGAGGGGCTCTCCAGGCTCCTGGAATATCCTGTCTGATAAGAATGTCTTTGTTTGCCTGGGATTTTGGCAACTGGACAGTCCAACAATGTGACTTAGGGCGGGGCTTTGGGGGAAGACTCAGGTTGATTTCTGTCTCTAGAGTAACCAGAGAAAAGTCAGCCCAGACCTCCCAGAGGGGCCAGGCATGCAGGTCAGCCCTACGGGCAGGATGGGGCCGAGCCCTTGAAGGATCTCTGGACACCAGAGCTCGGGGTGAGCTTCCCCAGCTGTGATGCTAGTGCCCATCCTTCCCAGAGATGCCTGCCTCCACCTTAGGTATCCCTGCCTTCACCTGGGGTTCATATGTGTCTTTTGTCTGTAATAAACCTAACCGTGAGTTGTAAGAGCCTTCCGTGAGCTTTGCGAGTCTTTCAGGGAAGCATTGAATCTGACAGTGGGTATGTGGAATCCCTCCAATATGCGGTCAGCTGGTCTGAAGTGCAGGTGGTCCCTGAACCTGCAGCTGATATCTAAAGTGAGGGCAGTCTTGTTTTTTCAGACTTTCCAGTTCATCTAACTTGTAGCATTCAATATACAGTCACACCACGTTTTATCAGCATGTGTTTTTATTGGGCTTGCCGATACTGAATTTTTGACAAGTTGAAGGTTTGGGGCAACCCCACTCCAAGCAAGTTGACTGGAGTCATTTTTTCCAATAGCATCTGCTCACCTCCGGTCTCTGTATCATTTTTTGGTAATTCTTGCAATATTTCAAACTCTCCACCAGCAAGAAAGATTATGACTTGCTGAAGTTCCAGCTGATGCTTAGAAACACTTTTTAGCAATAAAGTATTTTTTAATGAAGGTATTCATATTTTATTTTAGATATAATGCACACTTAATAGAACACAGGATAATGTAAACAACAGTTTCATATGCACTGGGAAACCAAAAGATTCATGTGACTTGCTTTATTACAATACTTGCTTTATTGCAATAGTCTGGGATGGAGCCTATAGTATCTCTGAGGTCTGAATATATTTGGAAGGAGCCGGAAAAATATTATAAACAAGAATTGAAATGGTCCTGCTGGGCTATGTTCTATCGAAAGGTCGTCTCCAGGTCTCAACTTTATTTCTTTACATATTTTGTCTGTTTGGAGTATGCATTTGTTTTTTATTTAGACTTCAAGTGCAGAAAGTTGAATGATTCATGTGCCTTAATTCAAGAAACATTATCATTCTTGGTTTTGTTGTAATTCTCTATTTCATTGATTTAGCCTCATACCAACACTATTTCTTTTCATCTGGTTTCTTTGAGTTTATTCTTCTCTTGCTCTTTTTTTTTCCCCCTAACTTGCTAAGTTGAATGCTTAGCCGTTTATTCTCCAACTTTCTTGTTCACCAAAAAATTCCTCATAAGCTACATGCTGCTTGAGCTGTGTTGCGCAGTTTGGCCTGTAGTCTTCAATTGTTCACGTCCCATGTAATTTACTCTTTAACTCAAAACTTATTTAGTAATCATCCATTCAGTTTCTGAATATCTGGACTCTGGACTCTTGCTTAGTTCTTTTTTTATTGACTTCTTTTTTAACTAAACTTGAAGTCAGAGGTGTTGGGTCATTGTTGCCAACATTTATTATTTTGCTAGAAATGGCAAAATAGCGATTTTATAATTCTTTCATTCCATCTGCATGCATTAGACAGAATTCTTCTATAAAGAAGAAATATCCCTCAGCAACCCATTTTTTTAATCTTTAAATAAGGTTGGTAAAAGAAATTCAGGATGAATGTTTAATTTTCTTGCCATTATCAATTTTCACAATCATGGACTTGTATCTTAGCAACCTCCAGTGGCGACCAATGTGTGTATTTTAATATCAAGAGCCTGTGAGCTTTCATATGCTTGAAGTGTCCCATTTATTGCATATCATTATTCTTTTTCATGCTTAGCCCCTCCTCTCCCTGCCATGAGGCCAACAGATGGACCTT